TAGATAGCAGCTGTGTGCAAAATGCAAGTGGTGGCAGTGTTTTCAGTTCAGTGCAAAACAGAGGGGTGTAAGGGAGGGGGTGTGCCATGAGGAGACACCAGAGGATGTCGCCACACTGCACACGTGTTCCCTGTGCCTGTCCTTACTCCTGCAGCACACACTCCGCGGATCAGTGACTGCTGCACGGATTTTGTAGAAAGGCTGGTGGCGAGGGTCTGATATGACTTGAAATGAGAATCCGTTTCCTCGCCAAGACCATTAGTCCCACAGTGATGCAAGAACAGTCTTTCATAGCTCTAATTTAATATCCCCCGGTAGAATAATGTTCTAAGGAAAGTGCACTTTTTGTAGAAATGTTGCCTTGAAAACCAAACTGATGTTTACATAAGCCCAAATTACACAATATGTGTCTATTATAGCCTTTTTTACATGATTGGTACTCATTCCTATGTTTTGATCACTGACTTTTAGGCTTACAGCCAAATGTACACAGCTGGCTGTTGGATAGCTTTCTAGTTACTGTCTGTCCTGTCTTTTCCATGAAGTTTTCAACTTCACCACACAGCACTTAAAAATGTCATTTAAATCTGCTCCGAAGCATTGCATCAGAACACCAGAGAGCTCAGCTAAAATTATCCGCAAATAATATTTTTACTGAAGCGGTGGAGAAAAAAAAAACGCAGGAAATTTAAAGCTCTGCTGAAGTCTAGTTCAATTCACTGCTCCCCCTGTACATAGAGGTATTTTAATTTTTGCGAATTCATACCCCCTGCTTTGTACATTTTCACACAAAGCCATGCATTTTATTGTTAAACCCGTATCAGCGGAACCAGCTGTGAAAGCTGGAGAATGCATTAGGACTAACGGCAGGCTGGCAGGTTTTGGAAGAAGCAGTGTCTGGTACCTGTAAAATGGATTGTGCAGAGCACTGTTTGGCTTATGCCAGTGCATTTTTAACACTTAAGAAGAGTGCCATATGGGCTGTTAAAATACTTGGCATGTTATTTAGAAGATGAGATGTTTAAAAATGTTTCAGCTTCAAAAACAAAAAACAAGGCTGGCTCACATCTGTAACATCTTTACTTCACAATCCACCCGAACAAGGGCATAGTCTTTTCTTCTGGGTAATATAATGTTTATTCTTTGATTTTGGTGGAGAAAGTACACAATAAGGAAGTAAAGAGTGACAAACATTTTATAGTATCAGCACAAAGGTGTACGAACTGAGGGAAATGATCATTCCAGACTGAAAGTAGTATACAATTATGATAATTATGGCTGTTCAGTTTAGTTTTTCCTTTTTCAAGTTTCCTTTTGCTTGGGGGGTGTTTAATTTTAATCACAAAAAAGGACAGGGATTTGGTTAAAAGTTTCAAACACTAATTCATCACACTAACCTTGTCCGAATGTCATGTTTTAGTTTTAATTTCAGGATAGATCTTGGTGCAGCTGGTCTTAACTTTCTACTCTCCCTCTACTGTGAGAATTGGGCTTCCCTTTTATGATTAGAAAGGGCAGCTTATTTGTGTCTGAGGAGCAACAGTCTTATTGGAAACGATTTTTGTAAGCGTTTCACTTCTGTTTGCACAATCTAAATGGCCCTTATACTGTAGTGCAGATCTGAAATCCAGAGTTCTTAGAAAAACCAGTTAGGCCTCCTCTCCAAGTAAATTAAGCGAGAATCTTTAAAAAAAACCTCAAGCTAAAGGTTACAGAAGCTGCCAAGCTTATAGACAGATTTAGGGCCTATTGCCATGGCCTGTGACAGAAGCAGTGCTTCATTTGAAATGTGCTGCCTGAGTCTGTGCCAAGTGTGTTGATGTTGGAAAAATGAGTAGAAAATTATAATAAGTACCGTGCAGCTAAGCAGCAAAGCTCTCAATGTGAAGTACTTCTGGTCCGGGACCGAGGTTTTCGATCTCCCCCTGACAAGGAGAAAAAGTTTCAGAGGAGAGTGCTTTGTTCATTCCCAGTGGCCAGCTTAGCCTAGTTTACTATCATTCTCTCTCTGTTTTGGTCCTGGACTCTATAAACATGGAAAACGGGATCGTTTGCTCGGTCTGACCGTACTCTAAAATGTCTTGCTCTCCTGCAGGATGTTCGCTCTAGACAGGCCGTCTCTGCTCAGCCCCGCTGGCTCAGTCCTGGTGTCTTCGGCCATCAAACAAGGGCACCTCAACGTGCAGCAGCTACAGCAGCGAGCCGCCATGATCCCTCCCATGGTCAGTCACTATACTGCTCCCCCATTTACTATCAGATATGCACATGCGGAGAAAAATGGAAGCAGTCAGAAGGGTGAAAATATGTCTTATTTAGACCAACCAACTTATCATGTGAGTTACAATGCATGCTTAAATATATAACATGGGCTTGTGTGGTGATTGCATTTAAGAAAGCTTTGACAATGGTGCCCGTCTCCCTCTCGAAATTTGTCTTTGTTCTGCTTTACTGAGGGTTATTCTGCACTTGGCCTTGTTCCTTCTGCTTTGTTTCTTCTCTCTCTTAAGTGTTTTTTTTGTATCACCTGCTTTGCTGAAATCATTTAAGAGGGTGGTGTTTTCTTTGCTGTCCACAGTGCTAGCCCAGGGGGAAAACAAACGCTGCTCGTCTCGGGCAGTTCGACAGAAGGAAAAGTGATGATAGAGGGATTTCTCCTTTATGGAGAGATGGGATGAATTTTTCTACAGTTTTGACAGTTAATAATGCAGACTGTACAAGAATAGTGTGCTGCAGAAAAATGAAACTCAAGTGCGAGCTTCAACTTCTATATTATAGATGTCATATGAGTATGAGCAGGCTGTGCAGAGAAGATAACAAAGATGGAGAAGAAAAGCGCACATCTGTGTTAATTCCTTATTCTTGTGCACCCTGAAGGGCATTTTCAGAGCCTAGTGAGAAAGGCTGAGATTTACAGGGGCATACGAGTGCTGTGGGGGGAGATGGCATGTGGATTGTGCTGTGAATTGTGCGGCTCTCTGGCAGCCCCTGCCTTTAACGGCGTGCCGTGCCACGCAGGTGTCCCCTGCCTTCGGCGCCGCCGTGAACCCCCCGCTGAGCGGCCTGGCCATGTACCAGCAGCAGATCACGGCGGCGGTGCACGAGGCCTCGCACCAGGAGGAGAAGCAGCGCCAGGACCAGGCGGACCCGGAGAGGCGCAGCTCCAGCTGCCCCCGAACCGGCACCAAGAGCCCCTCTGTTCTGGACCGGGACGCTGGTGAGCTCTTCTCTTCCAGCCCTGGGTCTTGCCATTTTCCCCAAATGCATGGAGACAGGATAAGAGATCAGGGTTTTTTTACGCACAAGCATAAGGCTTCAGCGCGATTCCCTCTGGATAGAGTGACTCCTTAGATATTGACTTGAAAGGAAATATCTCAGGGTGCTGAAGTGCAAACATTCTGTAGCAGGCCTTATATTATTCGTCTGCAAGGCTTAGAGAACTGTGTTGAATTTACAAAGATATGAATTCATAATTCATATCCCCTTCCAAAGCACAGAGCAAAACCGTTGTCATCTTTCCTACAAGACCTTAATTCCTTCAGGTGTTTTCTTTTATGCTTAGTAACCTCGTATTCCTGGTACTTGAGAGATGACGTCTCCGAGAGATTTAATTCTTTCATATTTAGAAAAGGTCATCAGGTTTTTTTGTACACCATCAATGTAGCCCTGCGGTTTGCAAAGTGCTGCGTCCAAAGGCCTGTCGCCTGGCTCTGTCCTCTTCTAGATCGGTTTCCTTTTTGATGGTTTTTTGAGATGGAAATGGGAAGGCTTACCATCCTCTGTGCTCTAAAAAGAATAATGTTGCTGGGTTCGAAAAACCTCTTTCTACCCTATCCCGAGCAGCATCCCCCGCTCGGAAATGCATCCCCGCGTCAGGTGTGCTCAGTCAGGATTCCGTGTGCTTGTCCGGAAGAGATCAAGGCTGATAATGGGACCTGGTTTGTGTTGCTGCAGGGAAGCCATTCGCCTACATGCCTTACGAGGTGAAGCTGTCAATGGAACAGGATGCTCAGTCTCACGGTAACTCTGCCAGGTCTGCATCTCCATACAGGCTTTCCCCCAGGGAATTCAACAAGGCCTCCCCACAGCCCGAAGCCTCTCGTTACAGCGTGCCACCAGGTAACTACCTTCGGCACAGATACCCCTTCCCCTATGACGACCGAGCCATTGACTCCTTCCCTCAACACACAGGTGCTTTTACAAAACATCTATTTTTACAGAATCTCATTTTTGTCTTTTTAATGATCTGTCTTTTATTTTAGTGGTAATTATTACTGATCCATGGTGTGTGTGTTGGTTGTTGTTGTTTTTTTTTTTTGGTGGGGGAAGTTGTGTGAGTGTCTGTTAGTTGAAAGTCCCGTGCTTGCTTTGTGTTCTGCACTGTAATCACGTTGGAATTGAGAGGCCGCATGTCTGTATTTTGAAAAAAGGGGAATAAGCAGCGATTGTCTCCAAGATCGATTCAGTGAAATCTTTGCTAGATTGGTTACACAAACCTGTTCAGGCGACACTGCTGATTGCACGTTGCATAAAACGGCGATCAGATCTGTATCTCGTGTGGTGTCCACATTGTTTTTGTGAGAGGGAGTCGGATAAATTACATAGCTGAACATCCTGCAGGAACTCATTTGGATTGAAACTATGGGTTATTGACGCTCAAATGCAGGGATTGGCAAAAACGTAGCCCCTGTAGGAGAAGTAAACATGTTTCCTGTTTCAGGTTTTCTTCTATGGGATTCTTAAATTCATGCATTGGTCAGATTATCCCAATAATAGGATAATCATGTTCAGTGAACTTCTCAGAGACCAAAGTTAATCTGTAGGTTACCTAACTTAGAACAAAACCACATAATGCACATGATATGGTATCCAGTTAACCAAATCAATATTTCACACTGTGGGAGTAGTCTGGACTGGAGGTAGCTCTACAGCTTGATGAGAGAAATGACATGGTACTAGATTCCTCTCAAGCATAGCTTGAACAGCATTCATAATTTACAGTTCTAGGAAGTGACAATGAAAGTTCTGTCTGCTTGTCACAAATCAACAGAGACCTCCTGCAGCCTCTCGTTGTAGCCCAATGCCACACGTCTCACCAATAACTGCATGTTGGTTTGCTGCTGTATAGCGCCTTCAAGATTCCCCTTTGTTCAAATGCACAGTGGCAGTTTGATATTGTAGTCCTACATGCTCAATATTTGCTTTGTGGTTTCTAATCATGCAAAAGATTATAAAAAGACTGAATTTTCCTTGTTTCAATTTTTTTTATCATATAATGATCTTAAGGTTTTGTGTTAGTAAATTTTATTAATGAAATGTTTGTGCCAGGCATTGTACTCTTGATTTTTTTTGTGTGTGAAACCCCACCCAATTTTTAGAAATTATTAGAAATATTTCTAATAAGTAATCTTAATTGCCTTTAAACAGTTTACTTTTGATACAGCAGCAATGGGATATGAGTTAACTGTAGTCCGAGATAAAAAGATGACAGGAAACAAGGGTATTAGGGTGAATAATCGTACCAGGCAGGCTTGCAGAAGTGTGATCTAGTACTGTTCTGTTCTGCGGTTTCACTGTGTCTGCCCCTTCTCCTTGTCTTTCCCGTGCAGTCCTCCAGCCTGCTCCGAACCAGATCTTGCCGAGCCTCCCTGATGGAGTCCGGGTGACATTTTCCAGACCCACAAGACCTGCCAACATTCCGTCTCCTCCCCCCCTCATTCCATCTTCCAAACCATCCGACAAGCCATCCTTTATCATGGGGGGGTCCATATCCCAGGTGAGCCTGTGGGCAGGGAGGGGGCTCGTCAGGATTTTTCCTCATAGCGAGGCTCGGTTTTCAGAGCTGGTCTCTGTACAGCTCCTCCCTCGTGTAGACACACACCGACCGAAGTATTAGGAACCCCCCCAGTCGGACGAGGGGGTTTTGTGGCACTGTCGTGCAGTCTGGCCCCTCTCACCCTTTCCCTCATTGCAGCCCCGAGGTTGATATTGTTATAAGAAAGGGACTTTACAAAAAAATGTTTTTATTCATTTTCTTTAGCTTAAGTTGTTTCTAAGACGGCAAAGATCTACCTTAAATGCTGGTTTTTAAAACGGGGGAAAAAAAAACAAATTATTTTAATCCAAAAACTGAAACATACCTGAAGTGTCAGAACAGACTTGTAGTTCTAGATAACATTTAATTCCCAGCTGCAGTATATTTATTTTTGCCTTGCCTTTCCAGGGAACTCCAGGAACGTACTTGCCTTCTCACAGCCAAACAGTGTACAGTCAAGAGGCAGCTAAGAGCTCTGTAGGCTCCATTTCCTTGGGCCTTCCGAGACAGCAGGACCCCTCCAAGCCAGGTGAGTGAGGGGACTCCGGCTGGAGCAGGAGCAGGAGTGGGATAATTCTCTGGGGGAATGTTGCAGAAGTGTCCCTAGCAAAACCTTTTTGCCTAAGAAATTAACAGACTTATCGGAGATAGTTATTCTGTTGCACTCTTTAGTTTCATCATGCCGGCAGAAAAAAGAGGAATGTTTTTTCTGTCGCCAGTGAATCCTCCTTAGAATTTACGGTGACAGTGATCGCACGCTTCGGTGCTTCTGTATTAACTCTTGTTCTTTCGTGTTGCAGTGTCGTACATCAAGCAGGAGGAGTGCTCTCCTAGAGGCCAGGCTGCCCAGGCTGAAGGGCTTTTGTCACGGGCGCAGTATGAAGGTGTAGTGAGAGGTAGGCCTTTCCGGCCTCATTCATCTTCACTCCGAGGGAGTTAAAGGGGAACTGCAACGCTGCTTTGCATATTTTGGGGTCGGAAGAAATGAGCATTGATAAGTGCATTTCAAACCGCACTAAACGTAAAACATGTAAGACCTCCGATTTGCATCACAAAATGGAAGAAATTTCCAGAGTAATGTGCAGCACCATATTCTGTGATTCAGAACGTGGCAACAAAACGTCTGGTGAAGAGAAGCGGCCCTGTGACATTGTGAACAAGCAGGCTGGCGAATACATCTCTTTTAGTCCAATAGAAGTATTGCTCTCGGCCTCGAGATGGTTTTGCCGACAAATACAACTTACTTGTTAGTTCTGGATGCACATCACATGGGAGCATTTCTGCAGTAAAATGTCTGCTGCACAACCTGTACTTATTCGCTCGTGCATCACATTACATTAGTCATTACAGGGACTAGTGAGCGGGAAGGGCCACTTCACGTTTCACGCCGCTTCGTGCGAATTCTCACTCACGCCCGTAGTGAGACCAGGGGTTCTCGACTGCATGGAGATGTACAGTACTTCACGATTTTGTGCTTAATTCGGAATTTTTACAATTGTAATTGTGTCAGTTTCTCATAATATGTGTGAACATGGGCTGTAAATGAAGCTGAGAAATCTTGGGGAAACTTGTCCAATATTATTGGCTAATGAGCAGGCCCTGTAGTTCTTTAGGGTAATGCAGTAAAAAGGTTCAAGCTTACCTTTCAGGATTGTTTTGCCTTGGAATAACCCTTCCAAGAGAAGGCTGACAGGAGCCTTTATTTCCTTTTCATGTTTTGTTATAACAGTCCACGGCCTTTCAGAAACTGTGACGTTAAACAGAGGCTGCAGTCTTGACTTCCAGACAGTACAATCCATAGCAACATATCTAGAAGGGTCTTTTTTGGGAAGGATTTGTTTCTGCTCATAAAAAAACATGTTATCACCTGGGGTAAGATGTTTAGCATGAGCTGGTGAAAGAGCTTGAAGTCAAGTGCTTTGGAATCATAATTTCAAGGTCAAGCTCTTGTTAGTTGCTGTTCTCCCAATATTGTTAAAAACAGAGTGACCTCTGTGAAACTTGGAAGTTTTCCAAATGGACTCTGGTCCAAAGTCCCCAAAACACTCTCTAAATAAGAAACACTGGCCTTTCCTGCATTTCGTCTGCATCTCGCTGGTTTTACAGATATGGGGAAATTTTGCAAAATGAGATGAAAAAATTAAATTCCGTATTTATTTATCTTTCCAAAAATGGAGGTTTATTCAATTTTTTTACGCTGCCACCTAGTGCACACGGAAGGGATTGTAGCAGACCCCTTAATGCATGGACAGGTTGTGAGCTGTGGAGGTTTGCATTAAGATAAGATAAGAGAAGATCACTTTATTAGCCATATACAATTTCTTGCATAAGGAATTCGTCTTTTTGCACATACACACACAGACGGGGAGAGAAGCTTGGGGTCAGAGCGCAGCGCAGAGCTGGAGCAGCTGGGGTGAAGGGCCTCGCTCAGGGGCCCAACAGAGCAGGATTCCTCTGCCGGCTGCAGGATTTGAACCGTAGCCACAGTGCCACTGCTCCGCCCCATTACAAGATGACATAGACAGTGGAAGAGGATATATGTGTGAATCATTCAAATCAGGACTATTACAAGGAGCAAATTTGCCCTTTTACGTTACTTATGGTTTTGTAATGGGGGGGAATGACAGATATTCATTGGCAGCACAACAGTATAATGGTTACTGCTACTGCCTCACAGCCTTTGAGTACAGTATGCTTGTTTTCCTGCTGTCCTCCAAAGAGGTGCTGGCAGGGCTATGGTGTTTTCGAAGTGGTCCTTCTGTGTGCCCCACAATGGACTAATGTCCCGTCCAGAGTGTCCTCCTGCCTTACTCCAGCTCGCTTCCTGCACTTCTGGGCTGTAGCTGTTTTGTTTTGTTTTTCCCCCAGGAATGAGCAGCTTTCTGGCAATGGGTTGTGTTCCCCTCTGGGAGCATCAGTCACAATTTAAAAAAAAAAAAGTAACAGCCAAACTTTTTTTAATAGTAGATTATAAACCTTTTGTTTTCCTGAGCTTGCAGCTGGTCATTGAGCCCTGGTTTAGTAAGCAGCGGATGAATGGGAAGAAACAAAGGCCGGTCTTGTGCTCACAGGTGTCGCGCCCTGTCCTGCAGGTAACCCGATGTCCGCTATCCAGGAGGGCAGCATCACGAGAGGCACTCCAGCCAAGGTCTCTGCCGAGGGCCTTGCTTTCCGAGGTGGCTCCATCACTCAGGTACAGGACCCCTCTCCTCCACAGGCCCTGGGCGGGGAGGTGGGATCGGCGAAAAAAGACCGCTCTTTGAATCTTAATTTGGTGCTTCTTCATTTCAGATGTGCGTTTTGAATTCGTTTACTTTGCAGGGTCAGTTCCATTCTGAGCTAAACACCTCACTTTCCCTTCAGGATCAATAAAGTCTTTTATCTAAATCTATCTAAGTATAATTTTTTATTTAAATTAAAATTTAAAATGGATTTTTGCGCCTATATCAACGTTGCAGGCTGGTCTCACTGTGTCGTCTTTTCCCCCCGTCAGAGCTCAACAGCTCTCACTTGTTAGTTCTTATGATGCACATATTTGATCCGCACTTCCAAACAAACGGTTTAACGAGAGGAGCGGATCCGCCGGCCTTGCTGAGTTAGTGAATCTGTGAATTAGCCCTCGCTGTCCGTTGCGTCGCAGAGGGCTGAGAAAGATGGGTGTCCGGGTTACTGATTTGGTTTCTCATGTGGGATTTCCTGGCCCAGGGAACCCCAGCTCTTCCCCAGTCCGGCATCCCTGCAGACCTGCTGCTGAAAGGCACCATCACCAAGCTGGCCACGGAGGATGTGGGCAGCCCTGAGAAAGCCAGGGAGGAGGGTCTCTCCAAAGGGCATGTCATCTACGAAGGGAAGAGCGGGCACATCGTCTCTTACGACAGTGAGTGTTGGCACCAGTGCAGGAGCGGAGTTCACTTCACTTCTTATTCTTGGGAGTGGATAAGGACTTTGGTTTAGAATAAGTGTCGCTAGTTAGAGAGCCACCTGCAAAGTGAGTCATGTAATTAACACTTATTTAAATATCCTGCACAAATCAAGCCAATGTCCTCACTCACTACACTCTTTATAGTTTACTTCAACGTTTTCATTTGTTACACATGTAACATTTTCTGTAATAAATATATGTACATTTTACATTCTTGATGTCATTCAAAATGTAGCGTGCCCTGTAAACTACTTCTCCCTTTTCTGATTTCTGATACCAGGGAACCCCTTTTTAAAATTTTGCGCTAACTTAAATTTTCTTTCCCGTTTGCTTTACCAAAGCTGTTAAGAATGTAAGAGAAGGCACAAGAAGCCCGAGGACAGGCCACGAGCTCATTGGGGTGAAACGCAGCTATGAAATGATGGAGGGATCAATAACCAGAGGCCACCCTGTAAGGGAATCCCAAGTTTCAGCACCTTATGAAGGTATGAGGCTCGGGTACTTCAGGAGCTGTGGCACCAAGAAATCAGTTCAGAAGCCTGTTATGTTCAGAGTTGAAATTACATATATAGCATTTAACGCCCTCCTTTGTACCTTCTGCACAGGTTTGATAAGTCGTGCACTGCCAAGGGAAGGCCCTCATGCAGATCCCAAAGAAAGGACTGTACTATCTGGATCCATCATGCAAGGTAGATGCGCATGTCCAGTCCACCCAAATGTGCACAAGCGAATATCCAGCAAGTCAGTTACTGGAATGATTTAGCTACATATAAGACCCAGAATGGGTGTCTTTAGAACTGTATTCATTCTGTAGTGGTTCTCCTCTTTGCATTGTGATTGATGTTGCCTGGGGGTGGTGTCTCTCAATTTTTTTGCGGGAGCACTTCATGTAAAAAAACTTCACCGTAACATTTCAGAAAAAAACGCCGCGAAGGACCTGAATTCTTCCCCATCTAGGGGAAGAAACAGGACTGAGCTGTGTCTTTACTGGCCCTGTAGGGACGCCACGGGCAACGGCAGAAGCTTTTGATGAGGGGCACAAGTACGGCAAGCAGATTAAGCGCGAGAGCCCCCCGATCCGCACCTTCGATGGAGCCATCACCAAGGGCAAGCCCTACGAGCCGGTGACCACTATTAAGGAGATGGGCCGCTCCATCCACGAGATCCCCCGGCAGGAGCTATCGGGCCAGGAGAGCCGCAAGACTCCAGACATGGCGCAGAACACTCGCCCCATCATAGAAGGGTCTATATCCCAGGTACGAGCAGGCAACATAATAATAATAATAATTGCTAACACTTATATAGCGCTTTTTCTGGACACTCCACTCAAAGCGCTTTACAGGTAATGGGGACTCTCCTCCACCACCACCAATGTGCAGCACCCACCTGGATGATGCGACGGCAGCCATAGTGCGCCAGAACGCTCAAGAAGATGTACTCACTTAACCTTCAGCCTCTTGGCTCTAAGATAATTTGACAGAATCTGTTTGCAAAGGAACTTCTAGGGTTCATTTAGTCTGGTGATCCCTATTCGATAACCTAATCTAGTCTTGTTCCCTGTCACTCTAAGATCTCTGTATGATCTACT